TTTTTCCCTCTTTATCTTCTTTCTTAATATTATAAAAATCAAATATTTCAAGAATAATAATATGTGAATTTTTTCATTTTTATTCTTTTTTCAAGAATTTAGACTGTGTGGAAAGCTATATGTTTTACCTTTAGGGTAAAATTTTGGCCTATGCAATAATTATGTTCTTTAGTCCTCTATGCCATTTGCTATTTTTCCTATCTTATATGTGAAGAAGTTTAGGCATAGTAGACTAAGATTTGTACACAACGTCATATGGCTACTAATCAGTGAAAAAAGTGAAAAAATACTCTTTCTGACTATAAAGAAGACTCTTTGTCCAACAAATTATTTTGTTTCCTCCTCATTTTCAATGTAGCTGTTTTGTAAAGAGGTCCCACAAATTTTTCTAATCTTCCTTATACTGAGTTTTGATTTGCAAAATGACCCTGAAACCTAAACATGACACAAATTCTCCAAATAGTGAATTCTAACATTTCAAATAAATCTAGGAATTTCTCACTGCCTCATGCTGTCTGTCTGCTTCACCCTCTGCAGGATGTTCTTCTTCCTTCTGGTTTGGCACTAGCCTTAGACAACAGTGTTTAAGGGCAGTATACGCTCACGGTGTAACTGCCAGGCATGTCTTACTGGACCCTCGAACATTCACTCAGTTGTTTTTCTGGAATGCAACTACATCATTCCTAATTTAAAATTGAATTAATTTGATGTTTTATATTCACCTTGAAACAAACTAAAAATAGTAATAATAATGAACCCTGAAGCTCTGAAGTTTTGCCTCATCAGCACAAGTGACTAGATAAGAGGCACACGAGAATAGACTCTTGAATTCAAGCCTCTGCTTCTCTACGGGTCTTCTCTTTATCCCTGTTTTTCTTTGGGGTAAATACTATGGCAACTGCTGGTAGAATATTTATTCATGTCTAATTACAGGAAAGGTATCTGAAATGTCAAGTCATAAAACTGTGTTATGTATACTCTTGTATGAATGAGAGTGGGAGGGGGAGGTACCAGAGCAGAGGGCTGCTAGAAAGAGACCGCTATGTATTCATTATTTAACTAATAATATGGCCCAACTTTAAGTCTTGGGTTTATTTGCCTGGCGTTTCCATCAGTCTTACAGTAGACCACCCTGACAGAAATTATTTGCTTCATCAAAATTTATCTGCCACAATTGCTACCCCTGTGCCCTTCACAGATAAGTCAAGTACCCAAATGCTAAAATGGATTTACGGAGCAAAGGAACGGGGTGACAGAATTCATCCTGCTTGGCCTGACACGGAGCCCACAGGTTAAAAGACTCTTGCTGGTTGTGTTTACACTCATCTACTTTCTCACTGTGGCAGGCAGCCTACTCGTTGTAGTGACAGTCACCACCAGCCGAGCCTTAGACTCCCCATATATTTTTTTCTTCCTTTCTTGTCCTTCATAGATGGCTGCTACTCTTCTACCATAGCCTCCAAAATGATATTTGATTTACTCGCTGAAAAGAAAACTATCTCCTTCAGTGGGTGCACGGCTCAGCTCTTTGCTGAACATTTCTGTGGAGGAGTTGAGATCATCCTACTCCTGGTGACGGTCTATGAGCGCAACATGGCCATCTGCAAGCTTCTGCACTACCAATCACGCAGAACAGGCACATGTGTGGCCTCCTGGTGGCCAAGGCCTGGGCCAGGGAATTTCTACACACTCTGATTCAAATTCTTTTTATTGTCTGGCTGCCTTTCTGTGGCCCCAATGTCACTGACCATTTCATCTGTGACCTTTTCCCTCTGCTAAAACTCTCCTGCTCTGACAATCGTATCTTTGGACTTTTTGTCACTGCCAACAGTGGACTAATGGGTATGTTCATTTTTTTCCATTCTTATCACCTCTTATGTCCTCATCCTTTGCTCAGAACTCACAACACTGAAGGATAATGGAAGGCTCTCTCCACCTGCGCCTCCATTGCTACTGTAGTTCTCTTATTCTTTGTACCCTGTATATTTGTGTACCTTTGGCCCATAATCACCTTTCCCATTGATAAAGCAGTGGTTCTGTCTTATACTATGGTAATACACATGTTAAATACTTTAATCTACACCCTCAGAAACTCAGAGGCAAAAAATGCCATGAGGAAGCTCTGGACCCAAAAAGTAATCTTGGGTAACAATTCATGTGAATAGAGAAAATAAAAACAAAATCATATTTTAAGAATAAGTGTTACTAGTTGGAAGGATAATGGTCTGAATGTCAAAATAATAGGAGTTTAAGTAGATTTTGCTCCCTTTGCTTTCTGAAACCTTCAATAGCTTCTTTTTAATAAAATATCATTATTTGATTAAATGATGACTAAAGTTTCTTACAATTAGAAACTTTTTGCATTTACAGGTTATTGACCGAAGGGACACTGCCAATCAACATAAAAATGTGACATGTATGGAAAAATCACTGAATTTATGTATTCAGTAGAACAATAATTTAAAATGAAAAAAGAGTCAGCTGAAAGATAGTGAAAATTGCTCAGATACTAGTACAGCCTTCAGAGATACTACGAGAGCACAAGATATGCCGGGGACTGTAGCTCCTGATAGAGAAGCCCAAGGTCACTGCTACTCTCATTCACTAACCATGTTCACAGGAGGGTCAAACATCTGCCTCAGCCTCACTTCACTTCAAAATATATCCTAAATGCCATCCATTTACAAGGACAGCCAACATAACAATGAGTTACTATCTCAACAATGAATCTTAATGGAGACAGTGAGCAGGTCTCTAGACACCAAGAGCTAGCCCATCATCAACACCTTACTATATGATGGAAATACCCTTACATAGCTCTGCAGTGACGAATGGAGAGCTGGTTAGAGTGATTTGAGATCTGAGCAGAACTCGCTTCAAAAGCTCTCACAAATGATGGATCCTGTCCAGTCCTGGTCCTCTAAAAAAAATGGGGTGGTTGGAGGGGCCAGGGCCAGAGACCAAAAGAACTGTGTCTGCACTGAGTTTGTGATTCCTAGGGAAGAGCCCAGAAACTTGTTTTCAGGAGAGTTCTCACCCAGGGAGTCAAATATTATGTTGATGCTGACATGCCTCATGTTCTCAGGACTTTATTACAAGTTAGATCTCACTATGTATGAAGTCCTTTGAAAAATAGATATTTTGCCAAAATTTCCTATGAGTGAAAATCTTGTAAATATATGTAAGCAATGTGCTTAAAATAAGATGATGATGATGATGATGATGATGATGATGATGATTTTAATGTTTGTTGAGCACCTTCTGTGAATAAAGTCATGACCTGAGGACTTATTTTGTATGTTTTGAGGCAGAAAATTTCTGACCTTAATTTCTCTCTGTCCTTAATTCATTTATAAGTTAGTTGGGCCATTATTAGTCATGATTCTGACAACAAACCCAAGGGTGCAATAGGATCCATCCTTCATGTTATTTGATGCTTTAACTGTCCTAAAAATAGAAGTTCTTTTCAAGTGTCAACTAAAGTGAATATGCTTTTCTTGATAGTCTCAGAATAAAATTGTATCAAGCTGGCAAATAGATAGACTGTTTTTAAGTAAGCCTCACTATGACTTCATATTTTTTTACTTGATTGGAATATTAGCTCAATTATTATCTAATAGCAGAAATGAATAGGTATAGAATTCAAGGTCTCAGTTATATCTAGCTGTCATTAATTAGACTTCAAAATGTGACAAAGTGAAAGAAAAGAATATTTATTTTGCCCAAGAATTCAGAAAACATTGTTTTTGTTAGATATAGAATTTGGGGGTAAAATCATTTTTTCCCAATGATCTGAATTTATTGGTTATTGAAGACTAATTTTGAATATTTACAGTAGAGAAATTGCTTTTCATATTAACTTCCAGTTTGTTTTTTTTATAGTGTAAAAAATGGATATGATGGTGACTTACAGATTATCTGTCAAACAAAGGATAAGTTTATTACAAATTATGGGAACCTACAACCTTAAAGGGTGAAGCCCCAGAAGGGATATAATCAGAGTTTGTAAAACCAGAAAAGGAACAGGATGAACATAGATGGATGTTTCAGATTCCAGGACATTGGATTCCCTTGGAGTTTGAAACAGAAAGAGGAGGAATGAAAGTCCACCTTGCGTCATTGGCCCAAAAATAAACCACTCTGTTCTAAGCACAGCATATTTCAAACTTAGTAGAGATAAAAAAGCAAAAGAAAGCAATCTCCTTTTGGAAGGTAAAGAAAAGGTTGAGGTGCATATAATAATATCAGGTAAAATGTGTTGGGAGTACATGTGCCAGAAATCTGATTAAGAATTTTGCATAGATTATCTAATTTAATTCTCACAGTAACACTTTAGGTACTATTATCTTCATTTATTTTGAAGACGAGCATCAGAGGCTTACAAAGTTTTGGTCACTTAGTCAAGGTCATGCCATTAGTAAGCACAGAAAGAAAGAATCAAACTCAGGTTGATCTTGTTCCAGAGTCAAGTTTGTACCCTCACTGCCCCAGCATAGCAGACATACTGCTGATGTCACAAAGGGTGACAAAAAGAAACAGAGGCCAGGTCTAGATGCACACAGACTCTTATATATAGCTAAGCATGAAGTACTTTGCTTTACATTGTATTTTGTCTCACATTTACACAACTCAATTATCACACAGACTCAAATGATATCAACATGGATTGCTATTTAAAGATTTAGATAATGAATCACAAATATCTGATTATGAGTTTTAGTTTAGGCACTTCAAAGTCAGATACTTGATAAAAATATCAGGATATCTAAAACAGGGATAATACTCATTCATGCCATATACATTTCATATAGTTGTTTTTAATCAAATTATTCAATTCAAGTGAAAAGACTAAGTAAACCATAAAAGTCTCTGATAGTGAATGAATAGAAAAGATGAAATACAGTGATTTTTGGTAACAAAAAAGTTTCGGTTTGTTACACTTACAGCAATACAGTCATTTTTAGTATCTGCTTTACCAGTCATTATCCACCTGCAATGTCTTACTGTGTGAAGAGCTTTTTCATGGCATTTTTTACCTCTTCATTTCTCAGGGTGTAAATGAGTGGATTCAACATAGGTGTCAGAATACCATAAAATACTGCCATGTTCTTATCTATAGGTAAAGTAGATGAAGGACGCATATAAGTAAACATACAGGGCACAAAGAACAGGGCAACAACTGTGAAGTGGGCCCCACAAGTGGAGAGGGCTTTGCGTCTCCCCTCTTCACTGTGGGACCTCAAGGAGCACAGGATGACAATGTATGAGGCAGTCAGAAAGAGGAAGTTCAACAGGCAGATCACACCACTGTTGGCAACCACGAGCAGGCCAATGACGTATGTGTTGGCGCAAGCGAGTTCCAGCAAGGGGTACAAGTCACAGACAAAGTGATTAATTATGTTGGGCCCACAGAAAGGCAACTGAAGGACCAGGAAGAGCTGAACAAATGAATGCAGGAAGCCCCCTAGCCAAGTCACCCCCACTAGCAGGACACAGAGATGCCTAGTCATGACAATCGTGTAGTGCAGGGGTTTACAGATGGCCACATAGCGGTCGTAGGCCATCACCGTGAGCAGGATGATCTCAGCGCCTCCCAGAAAATGGGCTCCAAAGAGCTGAGCCAGGCAACCCTCGTAAGAGATGATTCTCCCCTCATACAAGGAGTCGGCGATGAGCTTAGGGGCCAGAGAAGAAGAATAACAGGTGTCAATAAAGGACAGATTGGCCAGAAAGAAATACATGGGGGAAGCCAGGGTGGGACTGGAGATGACGGTGACCACAATGAGCACATTGCCACAAACTGTGACCACATAGATGATCAAAAAGACCACAAAAAGAACTCTCTGTACTTCTGGGTCCTGTGACAATCCCAGCATGAAAAATTCTGTGATATTGTGTGACGTTTCCATAGTCCAAGGACACTGAGACTGCAGGCACAGTATTGCCTATAAAGTCAAGAGAGAAGCATAATCATAACAGAATTCTGGAAGGAAAATGTTGCAAGGTTTCTATTATCTATACCCACTTTCCTCTGCCCCTCCTAATCTTTTCTGTTCCAAAATTCTTGTACCAATTTACTGTGTTAATCACAAAAGGTCAGCATATTTGTATCTGCTAACTTGAGCATGACTGGGGCACTAACTAGATCTCTAAGTTACTACATGAAAATAATAATTTAATTATCTAAAGTTTAATTTCTTTTTCTAATACCAAAATCGAACATTTGGCTGACATTCGTGTTCTAATTCATCTGAAATCCCTCTCTGAAAATTTTCAGCGTGGTTCCACATAGACACAATGGCCCTTGAGAATACCATGACTATTTCAGGTCTCCTGAAACCTCCGCATGTACAGTCTACACATTAAATCTTTCTTCTCGGGCCGTGCAGTAAGGCTTGCTACACTTTCTGTTGCAGGTGTTTCTGGTAGTAACACAAACTCATGTAAAACCGAGGAAAGCAGGATTGGGAGCTGCAGCTAGAGACTTCCCAACTTCTCCATTTCTCTCCCTGCGCATTTACTCCCACTCTCTCCCCAGGCTGTGGACAAGCTCATGTCTTGGAAGCCAATCTAAATTACCCCTGCCCATTGCTTTACATGTTTTACATGCTCTGTGTTTTGCTTTTCTTGGGCCTGGTAAAATTCTTCTGGTTAAAGCTACTGGTCATCCCTCTGCAATCTACAGGGAGGAGTCAAAGGTTAAAAAAAAAAAAAAAAAAGTTTGGTAGTTTGGTGAGCATCAGTGAAAGATTCTGTTAAATGATTATCTGTGTATTCACTATATAAAGGAAGCTATGGGGGCAGGGAGAAAAGATGCCCTGTCTAAACCAGCTGTAAATTAGGATCTCATATGGCAGAACATTCCTACTCACCCTTTATTCTCCTAATAACATTAAGGAAATGCCTGTGCCTTTGTTTTGATTAAACAAAAAACTGTCATCTCATCCACACCAGTCTGTTATTTTCCTGAAAACACGGACCTTCTTAAGGTGGCTAAATCTCTCAACTTGCTAAAGATCTGCTCTCATTTAATTAATGAGAACTAAAGGAAAACCATTAAGTGTCAGAGGAAGAAAGAGACACCCAGATATGAGAAACACTGGAGAGAACACTTCTGTATTGATCAGGAAGCCGTCCCCTTTTCTAAATCCATGCTTTGTTGCAAGAAGGCAAATACAGCTTCTGCAAGTGACAAGTCTGATGGGGACCATTTCAGAGTAGAACTTTGTGGCCAACAGCACAGACAGCAGTAAAAAGACCAATCGCCTGTGTAGAATTTAATCTTTGCCAAGCACTGTCCTGTCTTAACATATATGTTAGCTCAATCCTCACCTCATCCCCATGAGTTGGATTGCTATCTTTATCTTCATTGCTACAGAAGAAGAAAGTCAGGCACCCATTTAGCAACTTACAGAAGCCTGTTCAGCTAATACATGACAGGGCTGGCAGGCTCACTAGCTAGAGTCTGTGGCCTTTGCTGTACTAGACTCTCTCTTAAACTCATCTGGGTTTGATTCTTTTCCCTGTCAATTATTGACTGTATAATCATGGATAACTATTCAGAGACTCAATATTAGTACCTAAGAAATAAAATTTAAAATACTGCTCTACCCTGAGGTTGCAGAGAAAAGTAAATTAAAACAGTGCATTGTCAAATGTCTGTACCAAGCCTGGATGGGATAAACATTTAATTAATGGCATCTCTGATATCACTATCATCAATTCCATGGGCAACAAATTTTTCTTGTGGCTTAAGAAATCAAAATTATATTTATAACTTTATTATAAATATAAAAATGCCTTAATACTGATCCCAATGCAAAATACAAGAGTAGAAATCATAACATAAAATTTAGATAAATAATAAATTTATATGCCCAAAAAGAAAAATGTCAAGCTGGTTCATTGCTGTGATTTAAATGTGTGAAAGTACAAAATAAATTATTTGTTAAAAACTAGCAGAGAAAAAATTCTTTTGTTTCAGTTGTCCATTAGAAACAAAATTATTTCATGGAAAGTAACATGAATATAGTACAATTGTTCCACTGCATTTTTTTTATTTGAGTTGCATTTTTCTTTTATTTAATTTTTAAAATATATTATAGAAAACTTACACTGACTGGAACTGAGGACATCAACTGGTCTCCAAGTGCGGGGTTTGGTTTGGTTTTGTATTTTTGCATCCTAACATCATAAAGTGCTGAGGCTGAAAAACTTCTTAAAGGGTCATCTAGGCCAGCTCCAAGCATAGCATCCCAAATTTTACTGTTGCACATGACTAAACTCCTGAATGAAATTCAAATTGTGTTTTACATGAGACAAAGCATAGCTTAGGCAATTGCTATCAGTTACAGACACTCATCTGAGCTGAGTTCCTTAGAACAGTAGTAAGTGAAAAATCAAAAGGTAGTCATTCATTTACAGGCAGCTGGGAATTTGTTGCATCATCCATTTCCCTCTTATTTGCTGAAGAGCCCTATGCCACTTGAAACCATCTTTTCCAATTGTTTCCATTTTAAAGATGGTGGATTGAAGACTTGGAGCATTTGGGTGCAGCTGGTCCGAAGTCACATGAGCATTGCATGGCGGAGGCACAGCCTGAACCCAGGTCACTCGTGGCTCCAGGTCACTTGGGTGCCCTTTCCAATACAGCCACCAGCTTCCATTGTCTACTGTGTCTTTGACAAGCCACAAAAGCACTGCTGCTACCATCAGGGAGGAAGGTCTCTCAGACCTTAGATGGTTTCTTAGCTCTGCTTTTGGCTAAGAATACTCACCAGCAGAGTCTCGGAGAAGTCTTCCTCCTTCCCCTGAAAAGGGTTATTTATAAGGTGAGAAGTGTAACATTGGGATTTCGGGTGTACGTGTTTTCTGCCTCTCCAAGGGAGACCAGCTCTCCCCTCCCAGGATCATTTGCTGAAAGGGTGTTAGCACTAGCTTTTGCCTCCTTCACAGGTTGGAACCATGTGGATGCCGTTATTTAATTGGTCCCCTTGAATACAGTTTTGCTCTTGCAAGGAATGACCTCTATATTCTGCCTCCTGGAAGTGCCCTTTGTCCTTCTAGGGTCTAGAGAGATAGTCCACAAAGTGGCAGAAGGAAAAGGGAATGGCAATGTTTCGGAAACTGGTGTGAGAGGGTCAACATCTTTGGGGAAATTGCTAACTGGACAAAAATAAAAATCAACAGCATTTATTGAGCATTTTCAGTGTTCTAAGCATGGGTCCTAGGCATTTGCAAGGACATCATCTCTTTCATCTCCCCCTTTGCTGTGAGAAAAGAATCACTCCCCTCTATCCACACCTCTACTGTGTGGTGTGCTGAGAGGCTGGGGAGGCTCGAGTCAGACCTGAACTGAAATTGCACTTCCACCATGTCAGACATTCAGAAAGTACCTTTTCAGGCATTTTGCTAGATGCCAGGAATATCATAGTGAATAAGATGGACAGGGTCCCTGGCATAGTCTAAAAGGGGTGAGCTGCCTCTAAAACAAAGCAGGAGCATAAGAAAAATAATTACAAAAGCAAATATATGGAATATATGAATATATATGAATATATTTTCATGCTAAGTATTGACAGAGTATATGTTTTTAATACTTCTTGACATACGCAGCAAGTTTTTCTCCATAAAATCCATAACCATTTGCATTTTCACTATTCTTGCTTGTTCAGCACATGCGTACAGTAATTCTCCAAAACTGAATAAATCCCATTCTAAGCTTTCTCCAAACCTGTCCCCTGAAACTTCTGGAAAAAGTCACAAAAGAGGGAGGATTTAGTCTGCTATCAATTTGTTTCACCAACTTCAAAAGGCCCATCAACATTGCCCAGCAATCTTACTATATTTCTTTTATTAACAAATTTTTCCAATTCTCCTCAGGAACCACTTAAAATGTTCTTTATTTTCTTCAAAACTCTATTCTCCAACCTCTAACCTCTACCCTTCACTTGTTTTATTTTTCAATTATAGTTTATATACAACATTATTTTGTATTAGTTGCAGGTATAGAGCATGCTGATTAGACAACGATATACTTTGCAAAGTGGCTCCCCCAATTTGTCAAGTGCCCAAACATACAGAGTTATGACAATATTATTGACTATATTACCTATGCTGTACATTAAACTCCCATAACTATTCTGTAATTCCCAATCCCTTCACCTTTTTCATCCAATCTCCCAACACCTCTTCTCTCTGGTAACCAACAGTCTGTTCTCTGTATCTGTGAGTCTGTTTCTGTTTTGTTTGTCTGTTTATTTTAGGTTCCATATATAAGTGAAATCACTTGGTATTTGTCTTTATCTGTCTAATTTATTTCACTTTGCATAATACCCTCTACATCTATCCATGTTGTCACAAATGGTAAGATTTTATTCTTTTTTACAGACAACTAATATACCATTGCATATACCATATTTTGCTATGCATAATGCACACCTTTTTGACCAAATTTTTGAGGGAAAATAAGGATGCACATTATACATGGCCAGTACTAAATCCATATGTATATAAATGTTTTTAATTCTTCTATTTATGCTTATGCATTAAAAGTGTAACTGTAGAAAACAATAACGATATCTGCAAAATAATACCCTGGAATATGATAATCAGTTTTGTTTCTAAATATAAATAAATAAATAATTGAATTTAAAAATTAAAACAAAAGATTTTTTTCCTGAAAGTTTGGGCCAAAAACATGGGAGCGCATTATACATACCACCACTTTTATATTCACTCATCTATTGATGGATTTTTCTTTTAACTCAAAACTTCTGCATCTTGAACTATCCTAGAACTACACTGCAGTCTACAACCTTCCTTTTCTCCCTCTCTCAAACACAGGAGTCAGACCTGCGTGCATTCCGGACGGCTCCTCGCACTTTGCCTCACTCCATCTCTCTGACAA